TGCGAGCAGGGACTTGAACTCGAACCTCTGGCCGCCGCCGCCGCGCCGTAGGCCGGGCTGCTGGGGCTGCTGCTGCTGCTGCTCGAAGGCGGAGGCGGCCAGGGCGCGAACCTCCACGTTTCTCCGGGGGCTCGGCATCGCGGCGGGCGGCCCGGACCCCAGGACCCAGACGGCTCCGGACAGGCTCCCCGGCCCTGCAGCCTCTTTCCGCTTCCGCACTGCTATCCCGGAGGGGCGGGGAGAGGAAGGCGCGAGAGGACGATTGTGACACCTGGCGGAGACGTGGGATGAAACTGGAATTCCAATTTGCAGAAGAAGAGGAGTGGGAGGGTGTTGTGGGGGTACCTATCAGGGGGTGCGGTAGTGGGGGGACTTTGACATTGTCTGTGGTTCGTTAGGGAAAATAGAGTTCCGTTTGAAAACAAACCAACCCTGTTCTCTATTTTTTTCTTTTTCTTTTCTTTTTTCTTTTTAAGATTTCCTGCCCAGGGGTGTTCCTTCCTGACAAGCAAGATGTGTACCTTGGGGTTTATCTCCTGAATCAGTACCTGGAGACAAACTGCTTTCCCTCTGTGTTCCCTATTATGATTCAGCAGAGGATGAGATTTCAAAAGGTGATCTTGACTTTCTCACTGCTAAATAAACATTTAAATGTTGCTGTCTGAAGATCATGTAGTGGTTCTCACAAAGGACACAGTTCTTATAAAGTTATTTTGTAAATTTCCTTTTAAAACATTGCTAGAAGGCCCCTGAGCACAGGGCAGAACCATTAGTTGGAAGACTTGCTTTTGCAGCCCAGGTCAGAGCCAAGTTCTGTCAACCTAGTGCTAAACACCGTGGTCAATGACGTTTTCTATTCTGGGAACTCCCATGGCATTTTCTAACTGGAGCAGAGACAGCAGTTTCTGAATGTTCTTGGAGATGTTAGAGGCGGTTGCATTACATTTAAGGCAGGATAATCAATAACTAGTGGACCTTAGAAACAAACCTTTTTTTAATTCGAACAAAATGATGAAAAACTATAACCCAAATTAGTTATATCCTGTATCTGAAATCCTATAACAAAACAAAAAGGCTCCTCAGACTTGAGTTTTCTTAGGCCATACTTGGTTTATTTATGATTATGATATAAACTAGAGGCCTGGTGCATGAAATTTGTACAGGGGAGGTGTCCCTCAGCCCGGCCCTGCACCCTCTCGCAATCTGGGACCCCTCGGGGGATGTCCGACTGCCAGTTTAAGCCCAATCCCCTGCAGCCTAACCAGCAGTCGGACATCCCACTCGAAATCCAGGACTGCTGGCTCCTAACTGCTCGCCTGCCTGATCACCCCTAACCACTCTGCCTGCCTGCCTGATCACCCCTAACCTCCTCTGCCTTGGCCCCTGCCGCGGCAGCTTGGTCCAGAAGGATGTCCAGAAGGTTGTTTGGCTGTCCGGTCTAATTAGCATATTATGCTTTTATTATTATAGATAGTCAAAAGCATTACCAATCTTTTCCCCACTTTGAAATATTAATTTTATTATTACACAATCACAGTCCTTTGAAGTTTTTGTTTTGGAATTTGGAAATTAATCAGTCTGATTCCTTGAACCTTGATAAATCTGATGATTTTGCCCCAAACAATATCACTGAGGTGGTTCTTTGGGGGAAGAGGATGAGTGTGGGAAGGCTCCAGGTAGTCTATCACTTTTAAAGGTATGGATGGTGGTGCCCAGAAAATGACCTGTTTTGACCTGAGAATACGAGAGGAGATGAGGATTGATTGCCTAAAGGGCTAGAGCTGTATGTAATATTTTAATCCATTACAGTATTAATTTAAATAAAGTCTACAAAACTGGTTGGATGATAGAGGAGAGGAACAAATGGATATTACCTTGGAACATACAGTTAGACTCCAAAGACACCTACTTCTACCATTTAAATGTTAGTAGTGGTAAAAAGTGGGTGGTAGAAACCCAGTCTATTCTCCCACCCCTACCCCACCCCCCAAGAATGTCCTTATGTTATCAATTTTAAGTTTGCTTCTATAAAAGATTTTAAAAATCTTTTTTTTTTTTGGTAAGAAGCCCAAGGGTACAAAGTCATAGAAGCCCAGAGTGATGAATTTGTAAATGACTGTGAAGGTCATTTAGTCCAACCTCCTTGACTTGTAGGAGAGGAGGGTGAGCCTCAGAGCCACATTCTGGAGGCCACTATCGCTCCATTGCAGAGCTGTGCTTATGAGAGTACTCGTCAGACATACCATGGGATATTTTTCATCTTATAAATTTTAATTAAATAAATGCTTTATTTTGTTTTTAAAATGCTTTACTTTAAATTTTGAAAATTGCCCTCTTGTGTGAGCTGTTTGGGTTCATACTCCAGCTTTCTTTCAGTTTGCTCCAGCTTTGGCTGTACCTGTTCCATTCTTTTGTTGCAAGTACTTGCGTCTGTTCTATTCTCTAAATGTAAATACTTGCAGCAAGGAGAGAAAACCTCTTCTCCTTGGACCTTCTGTGTAATTCAGAATTGAATGTGCTAAAGCATTTGGATAAACAAATTACTCCTGAAGACTGCATGAGCCCTTGTGCTTGAACAGTTCATGTTGGTCATTTACTCCCTAAGATCATACTTGAGGATATCCTTGGACATAGATGAAGGGAAGGGCTGAGATAGTTTAGGGGAGGAAATCACCCAGATGTCCAAGTCAGTAAATCCAAGTCAGTAACACAAAAATTACAGGGGACAGCCTCATTTTTGTAGTTAAAATAGACCTAGTTTTGAATTAAGAGCAGAGTTTAACCATACTTAGGTTTAAACACTATTTCAATCAGAACTTTAAAACCTGAAATTAAACTCTGCTGAAAACTTTTTTTTATAGTGCACTAGAATTCAAGGAGAGGGACATAGTATGCCTTTTATTTCAGTCCTATCCCAGGCCCTTTTGATCTAAAGGATGAAATGTGCAGACTTGGCATTGGCTAGACAGGTATCACAGTTATTTTCTTGTGCTTCGAGGCTTTAACTTACGAGGCTTTCCCTCTCTCTCACTATTTTTGAATTTTGTGGGAGTGTAGCTACTAGCACTTAGCTTTCCTTTTGTGATTCACATAGTTAGAATTTTTATTTATGTGTTGTTGTTTTTTAGCACAACCAATCCCTTGACAAGATAAGTCATTCATTCAGTTAACATTTTATGAATATCTGTGGTATGCAGATTGTGTTTTAGGTATTCAAGACTCTTTGAGGTTGATGCCAGATATGCTTTTAGCAACTAACTGTAGGGCTAGGTCAAGTTGATAACATTTTGAGCATGTGGTAGATTCAGCTAACGTAGATTTTCCTGGCACTTGGTATTGTTTTACTAATTCTCATTCATTTATCCTATAGTCATTTGTTGAATTTTTTAAAATATATTTTATTGATTTTTTTACAGAGAGGAAGGGAGAGAGATAGAGAGTTAGAAACATCGATGAGAGAGAAACATCGATCAGCTGCCTCCTGCACACCTCCTACTGGGGATGTGCCCGCAACCAAGGTACATGCCCTTGGCCGGAATCGAACCTGGGACCTTTCAGTCTGCAGGCCGACGCTCTATCCACTGAGCCAAACCGGTTCCGGCATTTGTTGAATTTTTAACCACATACCTGTTAAAGGTATTTCTGCTGAATCCTAAAATATTATATGGCTGGATTTGATATGTGTTAATTATTTGGAAGAATGTAATCTATAATTTCTGTAAGTATATATTAATGAAACTTTGACAATTTATTTTCCTCATTTTTTTCTCCTGCAGTTATTTGAAAATGCAATAGATCCTGGAGCTGTAGCAGACATTTTAGAAAGTAGGTACTCTCCATCCCTCCCCAACCCTCCCAAAAAAGAGAAAGACTATTACATTGTGTGTCTGTAATTCACAGATATAAAATTCTACTATTTTCTAAGTTGTGATACTTCCCTGTTTGATCTATGTTAATACTCAAGAGAGCCTGTAAAATTTGAATCATGTTTTTTATTTGATTACAAATTCTTTTCTAGATATAGATAAGATATACTAGAAGATACAATCTACTTGTTTATTTTTTATTTTATTTATTTAAAAAAATAAATAACAATATATTTAATTCCCATTAATTCCACTGTTGAGAATTCAAAACTGGTTAATTGCCCCTAACCATGGTGCTGTTTAAATTAAATGGGAATTAAATGGACTGTTATAGCAGTTTTAAACCTAGCAATTAATGAAAACTTTGGCAATTTTCTAAAGTATTAAAATCTATTTTTTTCTTTTTTAGGTATTTTAACCAGGTTTGAATTAATACAGCTAGTGCCTCCAGGTAATGTGCCAGTAAATGCATTTCTAAATTAGCTTTTTTAAAATTTAAAAGGATTTTGGCATGACAAAATAAGGACTGGTATTTAAAAGTTGTCCCTTATATAATACTCACTATTTCTCACCTCCCACCCCCTCATCAGTCAGTTTCATTTTGTCCTCTTTCAGAAGAGTAACTTTATGGGTTTGGTGGTTTTATGACTTTCCATATTTTTATAACTTTAATTATTATAAAACTAGTAGTCCTGCACACGAATCCGTGTCCCAGTAGCTCACTGCTGCCCTCCTGTAGCTCTCTGCCTGCTGCCCCACCCTCCTGTGACTCCCCCCTCCCCCCCCGCCCTTCCTCCCCTTCCCCCCCACCCTCCCCTCATAGCTTGTTGTCCTGCCCACTCCTGTAGCTCTCCGCCGCCCGGTTGTAGGTCGCTGCCCCACCCTCCTGCTGATCCGTGATCTGGTCGTTACGCGGTCGGTCGTTACATAATGACCATTTGCATATTAACATCTTTATTATATAGGATACTTTTTTCCATCCTGGCTCAGCTTCTTTCAAGTTTTTGCCTTTGACTATGTTTTAATTGTGGTGTGTGAGTGTGTATGTACGTAAAGCCCAAAGCTATCTTCTCTACTAGTTGCTACAGCAGGGTTGGCAAATCCAGCAGCTCTGTTTCGTATGACTCATGAGCTAAATCTCTACACTTTTAAAATTGAGATTTTATTCATATACTATAAAATTTACCACTTTAAATACAATTCAGTTGTTTTAGTATGCTTACAAGGTAGTGCAAGCTAGTGATCACTATCTAATTCCAGAAATTTTTATTACTTGGAAATAGACCCCATACTCATTAGCCGTCACTCATTATTCCTTCCTTCCCATAGCCCCTGGCCACCATTAATCTACGTTCTGTCTCTGTCACTTTGCCTGTTCTGGATATTTCATGTAAATGGAATCAGACAACATATGGTCTTTTATGTCTGGCTTCTTTCAGTTAGCATGCTTCAAAGTTTATCCATGCTATAACATATATCAGTAATTCATTCCTTTTTATGGTAGAATAATATTCTTTTATATGGATACTAGAGGCCCGTTGCAGGAAGATTCCTGCAAGAATAGGGCTTCCTGAGACTGGAGCGAAGCTGAGAAGGGAGTGGAGCAAAGCTGAGAAGGGAGAGAAGCCCACCGAGGCGGGCTTCGCTTCCTTTTCCACTGCCTCGCTTCCTCCCATGTCCTCTGCTTCTCCTCCCTCCCATGTCTGCCACCTCGCTCCCTCCCTTCTCTGCCACTTCGCTCCCTCCCGTGTCCACTGCCTCAGCTCTGCTCCCGTCTCTGCTACCTCCGATCCGCTCCCTTCTCTGCCGCTTGGCTCCCTTCTGCACTGTCTTCAGTCTTCGCTGGGCACCTGTGTATGCAAATTAACTGCCATCTTTGTTGGGTTAATTTGCATACTCTTCTGATTGGCTGGTGGGCGTAGCAAAGGTATGGTCAATTATCATCTTTGTCTTTTATTAGTGTAGATATCACATATACAATTCTATTCTTTTATACGGATAAGTTTGCTTACCCATTCATCAGTTGATGGACACTGGGTTGTTTCTACATTTTGAATATTATGAATAATACTGCTATCAGCATTCATTAACAAGTTGTTGGGTGAGTACCTGTTTTCAGGTCACTTGGGTATACACCTAGGAGTGGAATTATTGGGTAGCTTCGTGCTTAACTTTTTAAGGAACTGCCAAACTATCTTCAGTTGTTACATTTTTAAATGGTTGGAAAGAAATTAAAAAATACAAATATTTAGTGATGTGAAAATTTTAAAATTCAAATTTCATTGTTCATAAAGTTTTATTGGAACACATCCATGTCCATTTGTTTAAGTGTTGTTCAATGGCTGCTTTCACACTGCAGTGAGAGTTGAGTAGTTATGACCATACTTAAAGCCTAAAATTTTTATTGTTCTGCCCCCCCCAAAAAAAACCCCACAAAAATAAAATAAAATAAAATCTTTATTGTCTAGACTTTTACAGAAAACATTTGTGACCTCTGTACTAGAATCATGGGGCTTTAGGGGGAAACGTTCTATGATGCCTTTGCTTTGTGGTATGTCTTGAATGCCTGGTGACCCGAGCTAGTGAGAGAATAGGAACTGCCATCTGGTGGCATCAGTTCTCATACATAGTCTCTCAATGTGGCTAATTATCTGGTGATTTTTTAGAGTCGTGTGTGTGTGTGTGTGTGTGTGTGTGTGTGTGTGAGAGAGAGAGAGAGAGAGAGAGAGAGAGAGAGAATGAATATACCTAAACATTTCTAATTCTCTTCTGATCTTTGCTATTATACATTTTTGCCTTTTCCCTTCCCCCAAATGAAAGAATCTTCATAGTTTTACCTTTTCATAAAAAGCATCCCCAAATGATGAGAAAACCTAGTTCTACATCGTTATTTTAAATAGCTATAAAAAGCTTCATTAATTTACTTATGTGCTTTTATAGGTCTATAAACAGTATGTAGATAACATTTTGGGTTTTGTTATTTCATTCTGCATTGTTTACTTGCTTGTAGTTTACTTGTTTGTCATTTTCAATAGCTATATATTTTTCTGTAGTCATAATTGTCCTTAAATTGGTATTGTTGAGCATTTAGTTTTCTTTGCCTTTCACATCTTTATAAAAATTATTTTTCCTCTTGGTATATTTGCAAAGAACAGAATTACTAGACTGAACCATGTCTTGTAACCTGGGAGTAAACCAATCCCCAGCAAGTTTCCACTACTTCACTGGCAGATGCCTCAGCTAAAGCAGAGGTAGCTGTGGAGGCTTTTATGAGAATCATAGGCCTGCCTACTGTCACTGTCCCTGGAGCAGGTCAAAGCCCCCAGTGGAGTGGATCCAGGAGTCTGTAGTTCTTTCTTCTGCCTCTTGGTTCATTAGCAGAAGCAGGTTCTGAAAACAGACAAGAACCCCTCTCTCCATGGATCTAGGGATAGACACTCTTGTTAATGTCATTTACTTTCTCAGGTAGGCATAACAGAGGGAAGATCAGAGATGTCTCCTACCTTCTTTTCAGAAATTCTCACTGAACGTTTTTCAGCCTAAAAGTGACAGGCCAAAATCAGGGCATTGAGGTGTGTTCTTTCCCCCCATAAGATTTTTTTCTTATTTGACCTAATTTTATGTTGAGACATAAATCCGCTAATTGACAAGTTTTATTTTAGTGTGCTAGGCCCATTTTAGTCTTATTCAATTTTACATGAATTGAAAAATTACCCAGTACCTAATATTCTCACTATAAAACATTTAATTAACACAAATTCTATGGAATAAAAGATGAATATGCAAATTGACTGAATGGTGGAAGGAGCGAGCAGTCACTATGATGTGCACTGACCACCAGGGGGAAGATGTTCAATACAGGAGCTGCCCCCTGGTGGTCAGTGTACTCCCACAGGGGGAGCACCGCTCAGCCAGAAGCCGGGCTCACGGCTGGCGAGCGCAGTGGCTGACTGCCGGCTTAGGCCCTCTCCCCGGAGGGAGCAGGCCTACGCTGTCAGTTGGACATCCCCCGAGGGTTTCCAGACTGCAAGAGGGCACAAGCCAGGCTGAAGGGACCCTCTTCCCCCAGTGCAAGAATTTTGTGCACCGGGCCTCTAGTTTTGTAAAATAAAAAGCTAAAGCCACAGCCATCAACAACCCCTGAAAATAATTACTATTAACAATTTGTTGTGTATCTTTTTAGGCCTTCAAAATATATTTAGCATAAATAATGCATTTAGTATATTCAAACAACCCTAAAATAATACATATATACACATATGTATCTCCAGTATTTATGATATGTATATTTAGTATTACATTTTGGTTAAATATATATATTCTGCAACTTGCTTTTTTAAAAAAATATATTTTTATTGATTTCAGAGGGGAAGGGCGAGGGAGCAAGAGACAGAAACATCAATGATGAGAGAGAATCATTGATCGGCTGTCTCCTGCATGCCTCACACTGGGGACCAAGCCTGCAACCCAAGCATGTGCCCTTGACCAGAATCGAACCCAGAACCCTTCAGTCCGCAGGCCGATGCTCTATCCACTGAGCCAAACCAGCTAAGGCTGCAATTTGCTTTTTTTTTTTTTTATTAACTAAGTTGTCTTTATTTTGTGTGTGTGATTAATCACTATGCTTTAATTATGTTCAATTTGTAACAATGAAATGGGGGGTCACCACAACATGAGGAACTGTATTAAAGGATGCACTTGGCCTCTAGTCATGCTTATAATAATTAGTCTCCTTGGTACCTCAAAAGTTGTAAACGCATGTTCACAGCCAGTAACCACCAAGAAGATGATCTCCCTAAGATTAGAACATCAGAAAAAGAGCAAGGAGAATGACTGACTTAAAAATGTGAACCCGACAGCATTACCTGTGAATACCCCACAGAGACTCAGCAAAAAAACAATGGAGGACTCCAAATCAGTAGCACGAATAATGCCAATGCCTTACATATTGACCACATCTCTCTGTGTGGCTGATAATCTGATCAGAAGGAGGGGAATTGTTAAAAACAAGACAACAGGCCCAAAATGAAGTTGCTTATGCTAAGTCCCACATCACCAAAGCCAAGACTTAACCAGAAATGTACTCTTAAACCAGTCAATCAGAAATCACCTGATCAGCACTAGATAGACCCCCACCATCCCCTAGACTAGAGGAAAGTAACTTTGCCACCAGCAGCCTACTTCTCTGCTTACTATAACTTTCTTTCCCCATTCTCTTCTGGCTATAAAAATGTTTCATTTTGTACAGCTTCTCAGAACTCCTTTTTATCTACTAGATTGCATGCTGCCTGATTTAAATTGATCTTTGTTCAAATATGCACTTAACATTTTCAGTATGTCTCAATTTATCTTGCAAAACAACCTAGACTTAGGCAGTGAGAGTAAACAAGGGATATATCCGACATTTCTCCTATTCATGTGATTCCCACAAAATAAGTCCTTGGCTCTTCC